GCCAGTAAACAAGGCTGTATCATCTGCATATCACATGCTGCTAATGAGCCTTCCTCCAATCCATATGCCACATTCTTCATATAATCCTGTTTCTTGGATTATGTGCTCAACATGCAGATTGAGTAAATATGGTGAAAGAATACAACACTGATGCACACTTTTCCTGCTTTTAAACCATTAAGTGTCCCCTCGTTCCATTCAAATGACTGCTGCTTGTTCTATGTACAGCTTCCGCATGAGCACAATTCAGTGTTTTGGAATGCCCATTCTTCACAATGTTATCCATAGCTTGTCATGATCCACACAGTCGAAAGCCTTTGCATAGTTAACAAAGCACAAGTATTTCTGGTATTCTCTGCTTTCAGTCAAGATCCATCAGACATCAGCAATGTTATCCCTCACTCCATGTCCTCATCTGAATCCAGCTTGGACATCTGGTTGTTCCCTGTCAATGTAGTGTTGTAGCTGTTTTTGAATTATCATCAGCAAAGTTTTACTTGCAGGCATATTGATGATATTGTTAGATGATTTCTGCATTCTGTTAGGTCACCCCTCTTTGGAATGGGCACAATTATGGATCTCGTTCAATCATTTGGTCAGGTAGCTATCTTCCAAATTTATTGGTATGAGTGACTCCAGTGCTGTATCAGTTTGTTGAGAGTCCACTTTTCAAATTATTGGCTAACAGTGTCTATTTGATTCATTTATTATGATTTAACTAACATTCAGAAAATACTCACTTTAATTACTCCTTTTCCCCTCTCTGCTCATTCCTGTGGTCCAGTATGAATTTAAACTTGATTAATCCCAGCATCATTCAGAAGAGGCAAACTTGAGGTCCAGGCTTCCTTCTCCAAGAATTGCAGGCCTGAATTCTTAATCAGAGTCTTCAGGGAGAAGGATTAGAGATTTGTTTTTATAAGAGTCCCCATGTCATTTTGATGCTACCAAATGCCACACTTATGTTACCCTTTAACACCATAACTTAGTGATATGGAGTTGTTAACAATAAAGATGGATATCTTTTTTTAAAATGTTTTATTGTGAATTATGTGATAGTTTACATGGGAGAACATTAGTTTTACATTCATCCTATCATATATCGTTTCATTGCCATGGTTACAATCCCCTCCATGCATCATCACCCAACCAAAGGGTAAACACTACAAGCCTGCCCCCGGTCATCAGCACACAGCCCTTCACCCTCTCTGTGTCTAAAGTCCCCAGCAGCTCCATCTCTCCACGTCATCATCTCTACCTCCGTCTCAGGCATCAGTGCTTCTCTGGGTAGGGTCCTGCTCTCCGTTCTTCTCCCTTGATGGACCCAGGGACCTCTGCTCCCAGACTGAAAAGTTAATCACTCCCCTCCTTGCCGCAAAACGTCTACCTTTACATTTCCAACCCTCACAATCAGTCCTGATAACAATTATTCACTGTTGTATCACAAGAGACCTATCCTATCCGCATTTCATTTCATCAGCCCTGACTAGAAAGATTAGATACTACTCAGTGGAGATTCTACCTTCCTCCACACCCTCTGGATCTAGGTTCTCTCTTGAAAGCTTATAAGCCAGTCACTTCTTCCCTTTGTAGCACCCCCCTCCCCATTTTGGGTAGCCAATGTCCAAGTTGCCCATTCCTGTCTACTCTGTGTATGGAGGGGGTGGGAATGATCCTTGCTGTAAAGATTTGTTCCCTCTTTTGAGCTACTGCATCCATAGGTGTAGGTCAAGTTCATCAACTTGTATCAGATTACTCTTTTTTTCCTCTTCTTTCTTCTTCTAGTTGAGCTCTGATCATCCAGTCATTGAAGCCAGGTCAAGTGGGTATTATCTGCAAGTGTGGGTTTTCTTGTGCCTATGCCCTCTTTTCTTATCAGCTGGATGCTTCACTCTCCACTCTAGTCCTCTGTGGCTATGTCACTGACTCTGGGCCAAAGTGTTCCCAGGTCTTGCCACATTGCTGGCCAACCTGGTCTCCACCCGGGTTCACAGGAGTCTATTGAACGTTGTAGGGCTTAGCTCGCCACTTCATTGCAGTTTTTCCCTCACTTCTCCTTATCGGTGATGAACCTGGTCACGAATCAGAGCGTGTATTCCCATAGAGTCTTATTCTTGGAAGGGGGTTTGCTCTGAGGAGACCTGACCACTTGCCTTGATGTCTCCTGGGCAAGCAACTTGCTTGTTCTTGTAGTAACAGTCGGTCTGCCTATATTGTTTTGTATTTTTCCTATCTGTCTTTCTTTCAAGAAGTATCTTCTGTTCTAGCTGCTCCAGGCTGGTCTGCTCGTCCTTTCAAGTGGAAATTTCCTACCTCTGAAGATTCTGGCTGTTGTTCAGGCTTCCATCTATTGTCTTATGTAATGCAGAGGCTATACAGGAAGCCTCCTTCACTGGGCACGCTGTAGCCCATTTTAGGTATTCCAATCAGTTACAGGCAGAAAACTGACTTAAAAGCTTTCTATGGTGATATTTCTGGCTATTCCTTTCTCTCTCCCTCCAGTGTCTATTTTATAATATAATGCAAGGAAAACCAAGATTTAAAACACAGCCAAGCATCTTAATGTTATTTCTCCCCCTTTTGCCCATTCCAACCATGTCTCAGTCCCTGTATCCCAGAGCACTGTTGTTCCAAGGCTGTGCATACATCATTATTTACCTCTGTCCCACTTAGACCATGGAAACCTGCCTAATTGTTCTCCCATCTGCTTTGTTCTTCTATTCCCCTCTCCTTTCTTGTATATTGCCCCCCTCCCCAACACCCAAACTATCCTGTGTCTATCCCCTGCCCTGTGCTCCACCTTCCCCTCCTTCCCCTCACTCCCCCCACACCCCAGCAACCAGCAAAGAATCCACCTCCCTTTAGTGGACAATAGCGGTCCTATGCAGTATTTCTCCTTTTGTGACTGACTAATTTCACTCAACATAATGGGTTCAAGGTTCATCCAAGTTAAGCGTTGGCTTGCAGCTTCCTTGTTATTTTTCAGGGTAGTATAGAATTCCATTGTGTGTATGTACCACAGTTTGTTTATCCATTCTTCAGTTGATGGGCACTTAGGCTGTCTCCATCTTTTAGCTATTGTAAATAGTGCTGCTACGAACATTGTTGTATGTATATCTTCTCATGCCATGGCTCGTATTTCTTGTGGGTAAATACCAAGTAGAGGAATTGCCGGATCATAAGGTATTTCTATTCCCAACCTTCTGAGGAAGCGCCAAATTACTTTCCAGAGAAGTTGGACCATTTTGCAGTGCCACCAGCAATGCAGGAGTGTCTCAGTCTCTCCACATCCCTGCCAGCATTTATTGTCCTCTACTTTTTTGAAAGGTGGATATCTTGTAGGGTAAATGATTCAATGATCTAGGGATTTATTTCTTATATGTTGGATCCTTTCTGAATTAAAGAGTTAGTATTTTAGATTTGAAGCTTCAGTGAAGTCAGGTGACTAGAACTTTAAGACCAAAATCTGTTGTTAGGTGCTATTGAGTTGGCTTTGACTCATAACGATTCCAAGCCCAACAGAATGAACACTTCGCAGTCCTGCTCCAACCTCAACATTATTGCTATGTTTGAGCCCATTGCTAAGTCCCAGAATTCTAAGGTTCTGAGATTCTGAACCTAGTGGTTGCTCCCAGTGTCCTATATCTATGTCTCCTCAGAATTCCTTGTTTCTTACATTTGCTGCTGCTGGCCCTTGAGGGGCAGTGGATTAAGCATTCAGTTGCTCACTGTAAAGTTGGTGGTTCAAACTGCCCAGTGATTCTGAGGGAGAAAAATGAGGCTGTCTGCCCCTGTGAAGATTTACAGTCTTGGAAACCCTAAGGAGCAGTCCTACTCTGCCCTATAAGGTCGCTCTGAGCTGGAATCAACTCGGTGGAAGTGGTTTGGGTTTGGTTTCCTACACAAAGTTTCTGAGATTGTTTCCCCTCAGGGATTTCCCTGATCACTGGAGCATATTCAATCAGCACAAAAGGTAGTAGAACATTTTGGGGAGTTAGTATGCCCCAGCTCCTTCACTCCCACCATAGGACCACGATGAGACATGCTCAACCCAGTCTCCCAGCAGCCTCCAGGGGAGAGTCCCAATTGCTCATCACAGTCACGGCTCACTAACATATATTGTGTTGACTTCCTCCTCATCCCTGTCTCACCTTCCCACGCTCCTACCTAGGATCAGCTCTCAAATAAGCTACTTGCCCACACAGCCTTGTCTCAAGACTGTTTCCAAGAGAACTCAACTGAGACAACAAGTCTAAACATAGATCAGAATTTTCTAGAATATTAGAGTTTTAAGAGCATAGATTCTATGCCTAACATTTAGACTCCACAAATATGCTCTTGCTTTGTACCATCTATCTGGTTCTTTCATATGCATACTTTTATTTTCTTCATCTCAACTTCTTACCATATTGTTGCTGTCAGGTGCCGTACAGTGTACTTCAACTCAGGGGGACCTCATACAACAGAGTAGAACTCACCTGTAGGGTTTTCTAAGTTGTTATCTTAACAGGAAGTACCCTAGTGGTGGCTTGGGTTGGGCATTGAGCTGCTAACCACAAATTTGGCTGTTCTAATCCACCAGCCACTCCTTGGGAGAAAGACAAGGCTGTCTGCTTCTATAAAGATTTGCAGTCTTAGAAACACCAGGCTCCTTTCTTATCATACCAGAAGCGAGTATTGTCTACTTCCTTCCTGTTCTCCATGGAGCCTAATGAATATTTCTCCTTTGTTCAATTGCTAGAAAGGATTGTTAGAGCTAGAAGAGCAATGCAATGCAGCAAGAAAGTGAACATTGGTTCCCTTCTTGCTTCTAATCCCATTCTGCTATGTGACCTGGAGTGAGGCCATTCCCTTTATATGGCCCAGCTTCTTTATCTGTAAAAGGAAGAGATCAGAGCTTAACAGATTTCAAGCTCTTCCTTTCTCAACCTTCAGCCATTTCCAGATTCCAAATCTCTAGCCACATACTAATCCTCTGGGAGGGAAACTGGAAGGCTTACCTGTCCTTCTCGTTCAGCGACAGCCTCTCAAAGTGCAGATGCAGTTTCTGGCCCTCTGGGGCTTCAATGATCCACACACACAACTGGCTCCCATTGCTCTTTCCAGGGTAACTTGGGGAGAGGACGCGGCCGATGGTGGCATTGTATACTGCTCCTCCACAGGGGGCTGGAACCAGAAAGCAGAAGTGGGTGAGGAGTGGTGTGGAGAAGCACAGAGAGAGGAAGTGAGTGTTTCATCCTCACCTGATATTACCCTAAGCCCTGTGTCACTGCCTTTGAGGCCTCCACTGACTCATGGTGACAATAGAACATAATGCTGCCTGGTCCTAAGCCATCCTCATGATCTTTGTGGCTCAGACCATTGTCATCCACAGGGTATTCATTGAATGATTTTTGGAAGTAGATCACCAGGTCTTTCTTCCTAGTATGTCTTAGTCTGGAAGCTTCACAGGAACTTTTCAGTATCACAGCAACACACCATCTATCCACTGACAGACAGATGGTAGCTGTGCATGAAGTGCATGGGCTGGTAATCCAACCTGGGTCTCCATCATGGAAGAAGCCCCAGTTATACAGTGGTTGGCTAAGTGTTCACCTGCTAACTGAAAGGTGAGTGGTTCAAGCCTATCAGCTGCTCCATGGGAGAAAGATGTAGCAATCTGCTTCCATAAAGCTTTACAGTCTTGAAATCCCTATGGGACATTTCTACTCTTTCCTCTACGGTCACTTTAAGTCAGAATCTAGCTTGATGGCAATGGGCTTGGGTTTGATTTTGATCCATCATTGAAGTAAGAACTCTACCACTGAAACACCACTACTCCTAGCATTATCTAGGGTGAAACACCAGAGAACTGGGTGAGGAGAGGGACAATGAAAGAGCCTCTTCTACTGGGAAGAGAGTAATTTCATCCTGTTTGATGGGAGATTTTGCTCCATGATAAGACCCATCAGCATGTGTATTTCATGGTAAGGAATGACTGCAGTTTAAGGACCTTTTCTTGATCCTGGCTGGTTCCTAGTCCTTAATGATAAACTGAAAATGAAGAAGGATGTAAACAAGCAGTTCACAAAAGAAATATACATACTTAACAAGCACTAAAAATTCAGCCTCACTAGTAATAAAAGAATTGCATATCTAAGCGACATTCCATTTTCATCTACCTAATTGGTCAAGAAAGAATGCCCTAATAAAACGCAGAGACAGGAGAGGTGATGGGATGTGGTCATTCTCATTCATAACTGCTTAGAATGTAAGTTGCTAAGACTTTCCAGGAAAGCAAATTGATGAAAAGTTTAGAAAATATGTTCAAACCTTTTGACCCAGTGTCTTAGTTATCTAGTGCTGCTAAAACAGAAATGCAGACGTAATTCAATCAATAGCACCCGATCATCATGGTTTGGGACATTTATCCTGAGGAGAGATTTAGAGATTTGCACCAGGATTGGCAAATGAGGATATTCATTGCAACATTGTTTCTAAGAGTGAAAAATGAGAAGCAACACAAATGTCCACTCACAGATGCTTGGTGAAATAAATTACATTCTACCCATACAGTTATTAAAACCCAAAATCTGAAAGTGCTTCAAAAAGTTAATGAAAAAATGGTAATGAAAAGATCATGATTTCCCCCTGACCCAAAACTTTCTGAAGCTGACTTGTACAAGAAAATACTATTTTTAAGTGAAAAAGGCAAGCTAGAATAAGGTGTGCCATATGTATATCAACTAGCTATTAATTAGCAAGGATCAGTTGAAACTGTGAATATCTTTTACATTTTAAATTTCTTACAATTTTCTCACAAGAACCATGCATTACTTTTATCATAAAAATCAAATAAAGAAGTATTAAAAACGGATTTGTTAGCTGGGAAGAGGCATGTAAACATGATGGTGTATTCTTAGTCTTAGGAGATGTTTGGTTCTGAGGTTTCTGGATTTCTATTTACAATTTGGGAGAGCTCTTCTAAGTCTTCCAAACCCAAGGTGAGCTGGTGGGAAGCAGGCACTTTCCTTAGAACTGGGCAGTGAGTCTTGGCGGAAGGGGCATAAATTACAACAAGAGTCATAATTAAGACTCAACCCAGATTTAGAAGTATTCAAAGTAGAACAGACCTATAAGACTGAAAACAGTGAACCAGAGATACATATGCAACAACAACAATAACAAGAAACCCACAAGTTAAAAGAGGGTTACAGAACTTTCAAATGAAGAAATCATATAGATTTAAAGAAGAAAAGAAATGAAAATAAACTAAACTGTAACTGTAAAAGCTAGATTAAGTCTTATTCCTAGCCCTAGACCAACCTTTACCCCTAACACTAACCCTGTTGCTAGTCAATGCTGCCAAGTCGGTTCCAACTCATAGAGACCCTGTATAGGGTTTCTGAGGAGAGATTGTTGAGTTTGAACCACCAAACTTGCAGTCAACAGTCCAGTGCTTAACCTACAGCACCATACCAGAACGCTACACTAACCCTAGTCCTAACCATAACCCTAAAAGAAGTCCTAGGCTTAACCACAGTCCTAACCCTAATCCTTATTCCTTATACTACCCACCTTCCCTGCCAAAGAACTGATAAAACAAAACAAAACAAAACGAGCCATGATCAAACAAAGCCATATACCAAGACCAGGATTTCAAGTCCTAGGAGCTATCTCTCTCTTTTAGGAGGATCAAAGAAGATTGAAAAGTCTTTCTTCCAACGTCTCTTTGCTCCTTCTTCATTACCAGCATAATGGCAAGTAAAGCAAAAGTTGAAGTGGTCGCTGGAACTTCATCAGGGAGGGTAAAAACCTTGATCTCTACTTTGTGGACAATATGGATTTTTCTCTGGACTCCCTCTATCCTTTCCTACAGGTTTCTTATCAAATAATGTCATCCATCATTCTTCCTCTTCTCTTCCATCTTTCTTCACAGCACTAATCAGAAACAGAATATATGTCTTGGTTTATTTGTTGTGTTATTATTATTATTATTATTGGGTTATACCAACATCTCAAAGCATTCCTGCTATGTAGTATATGCTCCGTTATTTGTTAAATAAGCACCTATAATTATTTCATGGTAGAATAAAGAAGCCCAAATGTGTTAAGATACTTGCTCAAAGACACAGAGCAATAAGTTCCAGAGTTGGGACTCAGGCTTAAATTGTCTCGCTACTGCTATTTCCACCCTGGGAGCTCTGGTGATGCAGTGGACTAAGAGTCGGGCTGCTAACCAAAAGGTAGGTGGTTTTTACCGAACAGCCACTTCACAGGAGAAAGAAGCAGTAATCTGCTCCCATAAATATCTACAGCCTTGGAAACCCTGTGGAACTGTTGTACTAGGGTCCATAGGGTCATGATGAGTTAGAATCAACTGGGCAGTAGCTTTTTCTTCTTCTTTTTAATTCCATGCTGACGGTGTCATATTCATGATGATAGTGACCTGACCATTGGACATACAGTGGCTGTTGAACCAACCCTAACTCATGGCACCCACCCCCATGTGTGTCAGAGAAGAACTGTGCTCCACAGCGTTCTCAATGGCTGGTTTTTCAGAAGTAGATGGCAGGGCTTTTCTTCTCAGTGGACTCAAACCTCCATCTTTTGGATATCAGTGGAACATGTTTACTGTACCACTCAGGAACACCGCAAGGAGCATAGAAAGTGTTTTCTAAATGTCTGCTAAGGAGTCCTGGTGTGGTGCTGTAGGATAAGCATGATACCATGAGGTCAGTTTGAACTGCAAAGTTGGAGGTTCAAACTCACCAGCCACTCCTCAGAAACCCTATAAAGGGCCGCTATGAGTTGGAACCAACTCTATGGCATTTAACAACAATGACAAAACAAAACAATAACTTTTCTGCACTTCTACACCTCTAGAGTTAGGAGTGTGGTGCTGTAGGATAAGAACTCAACTGCAAGGTCAGTTTGAAGCACAAGGTTGGAGGTTCAAACTCACCTGGAAACCCTATACGGGGTTCCTATGAGTTGGAACTTGATGGCACTGAACAAAAACAATAACAACAGAGTTAGGGGTATATGGACTCTAGGTGTGGCGTTGTAGGATAAGCACTGGACTGCTAACCACAAGGCAGGTGATTCAAACCCAACAGTTGCTCCTCAGAAACCCTATGCAGAGTTGCTGTGAGTTGGAACCGACTTACCGGTATGTATCAACAACAACAGAGTTAGGGGATTCCTGGTGCAGCTCTGTAGGAATTGCACCACCTCAAGGTCCTGGGAAACCCTATACAGGGTTGCTATGAGTCAGAACAAATAGGCAACTGTGTTAGGGTAAATCTTGACACACACCAGGTACATAATATAACAAATGAATGACTACATAACTGTATGGAGCTTGCAGCAGGAGAGAAAGGTGGACAGCCTCCTCCCTGCTCTGGATTCCTTTGTTGTGGCAGATAGCAAACACATTGTCAAGCAGTAACACCCTCGGGACAGGACCACGGACAGAGCACCAGCTGCCTTTCTCTGTCTAGCCCTTCAGTCTTATAGTGGGGATTATACTCCCACTGTAGAGCCGGACCTATGCTCAAACCTCACCTGTGTCACCCACCTCTTATAGTAAGTCACTTAAGATCTCTGAACCTCACGTTTTGGTGGTTGTTAGTTGTCTTTGAAGAGGCTCTGTCTCATGTCGACCTTAAGTGTAACATAAGGAAACGTTGCCTGCTAACAGGGCTGTGTTTTGTTCAGAACCATGGATAGAGCCCCAGTTTCATTCCTACATCTTCCTCATGCTTCTTAGCATGTTTGAGTTCATTTTTGTGGCTATTTGTGTTAATCCATCTCATTTGTTTCCCTCACTTTCATGGAACCTCCACCCTATGTCTAGTCTCAACACTTTGTTGTTGTTAAATGCCGTGGAGTTGGTTTCTGAGGAGTTGCTGGTGGATTTGAACTAATGACCTTGAGGATAGCAAGCAGTACAGTGATTATCGTACAGTGCCACACCAGCACTCTGTTTAGAATGATGGTAATAATCTCACTCACTTTATAGGATTATGGTGAGACATTAGTGAAATAGTGAATTGACAGAGTACTTGGAACCAACCTAGATTTAGATTCCCTAAACATGCTGTTGTTGTCGTTAAGTGCCGTCGAGTTGGTTCTGACTCATATCGACCATGTATAGGGTTTCTGAGGAGTGGCTAGTGGGTTTGAACCACTGACCTTGCTGCTAGAAGACCAGTGTTTATCTTACAGCACCACACATAGCTGGTGTTATTGCTCTGTAGCTCAGAAGCTGCCACAACAGAGTACTCTGTTTCTGGTTGGGGGTGCTGACCATCTGTCCTCCTGAGTGGCTGCTCATTTACTGCCTTTCTGCTCCTTTCCTTGCCTTATTAAGCCGACTGATGGCTCTGTTTGGCTTCAATTTGCTGGCCATGACTCCCTATCCATCTTTCTTAGCACAAATTGAGGTTTAATTCCTCTCTGATTTCACACATAGATAAAAATTAGCATGATAGAAGTGTGGAGACCCAACTGCTCTAGGAGGTTTCTTTTCCCATAGTACAAAAGAAAGAAAGAAAGGAAGAAAACAAACAAACAAACAAACAAACAAACAAACAAAAAGATAAAATTCTGAAGGGCTGAAGGGTCTTGTGGCAAAAGTACTTCAACAATGAAATCTCAGGCTTTATCATAAGCTATCATTCACATTTTGAATTCTGCTTGATTATGAATTCCTGGAGGGCAGGAATTATGTGTCATGCTCCTTCCAGTGTTTTCCTCCTTCTTACTCATGACTTAGCACACAATAGGAGTTCAATACTTTCCCCAGGGAGTCAAACTAGGTTAACAGGTTGCCTTCAACATACAATTTCTTCCTCTGTAAAATGGGAATAAGTGATCCCCTCTATATAGGATTGCTGAGAGGATTAATGGTATCCTCTAACATGGTTTATGGTTTTAGGATCCCTGGCAATGTAGTAGACTAGGAGATGGACTGCTAACCACAAGGTCAGCAGTTCAAATCTACCAGTTGCTCCACGAGAGAAAGAGGAGGCATTCTGTTCCTGTAAATATTTACAACCTTGGGAACCCTACATAGGGTTGCTATGAGTAGGAATCGATTCGAAAACAACCCCCAGAATGGTTGGCACTGGATTGCTAGCAAGAAGGTCTGTGATTTAAACGTGTATTCAGGGTCATTATAAGTTGTAAGTGTTTTGATGACACTTAACACCAACAACAGCTAGTATGGTGCTCAACACACATTGATTGAGCTGAAAATGGCAACAGTCACAATAAACTCAAATGCAACAAAAGAAGAAAAACAAACAGATAAAATTGGAATTCATCAAAATGAAAAACTTTTGTGCCTCAAAGAACACTATTAAGAAAGTGAAAAAGATAAAACACAGAATGGGAGAAAATATTTGTAAATAACGTATTTGTTAAGGGTCTAGCATCTAGAATACAGCAAGAGCTCTGACAGTTCAGCAATAAAAAGACATATGACTCAATTGGAAAATGAGCAAAGGAGTTTCAACATTTCCTCAATGAAGACAGACAGATTCACCCAATTTATATAAAAAGACACTTAACATCACCAGTTATTATGCACTATCCTAAGGAGCTCTGGTAGCGTAGTGGTTACGAATCGGGCTGCGAACCTTAAGGTCAGCGGTTCGAAACTACCAGCCGCTCCGCGGGAGAAAGACGAGGCTTTCTACTCCCGTAAGGATTTACACCCTCGGAAACCCTGTACAGGCTCGCTATGGGTCGGACCCGACTCGACGGCACTTAACAACAACAACAATGAGAGATCACTTCATACTCCTTGTTGTTGTTAAATGCCTTCGAGTCAATTCCAATTCATAATGACCCTGTATAGGGTTTCCAAGGAGCAGCAGGTGGATTTGACTGCTGATTTTGTGGTTCACAGTCCAGAGCCGATCCTATAGTGCCACTCTAGGAGTCCTCATACTCATTAGGATGGGTATAATAAAAGAAAAGAAAAAAGAAGCATTGGGGAGGATGTGGAGATATTGGTACTTGAATACTTCTGGAAGGAAAGTAAAATTGTGCAGCTACCATGGAAAACATTTTGTCATTTCCTAAATAAGCAAAACCTAAAGTTGCCATTTTGTGCTAAGAAGAATGACATTGTATTCATCATCAAAAAGAATCTTTCAACATCTACCTTGAAATACAATGCTTTCTGTGATAGGATAATATCCATGTGCTGAAAAGGAAGATTTGTCTGTCAGTTTGTTGTATTGTGGTGGATTGTATGTTCCTGTGATGCTGGAAACTATGCCACTGGTATTTTAAATACAAGCAGGGTCATCCATGGTGGACAGATTTCAGGGGATCTTCCCGACTAGGCAGACTAGGAAGAAGGAGAGCCAGACTACTTATGAATGTAGAGCCACCGAAAACTTTATGAATGGCAGTGGAACACTATCAGATAGCACCAGAAAACACTCACAGAAGCAGCATTCAAGAAATCAAACAACATATTGCATTAAGCAAATCTGCTGCATGGGACCTCTGCTCAAGAGTGAAGATGTCAGTTTGAGGAGTAAGGTGAACCTGACCCAAGTCATGATCTTTTCAGGAGCTTCATGTGCATGTGAAATTAGGACAGTGAATAAATAAGGAAGACAGTAGAAGAAATGCATTTGAGCTGTGACGTTGGAGGAGAATATTATAAGTACCATGGACTTCCAGAGGAACAAACCAATCTGTTGGAAGAAGTGCAGCCAGAATGCTCCTTAGAAGCCAGGATGATGAGACTTCATCTCTCATACTTAGGACATATTATCAGTAAGGACCAGTCCCTGGAGAAGGATATCATACTTGGTAAGGAGGAGGTCCAGAAGTAAAGAGGAAGACCCCCAACTAGATGGATTGGCACAGTGGCAGCAGCAATGGGTTGAAGCATAACAACAATTATGAGTGTGGTGCAGGACCAGGCAGTGTTTTGTTCTATTGTGAACCGGGTCATGATGAATCGGAACTGACTTAATGGCACCTAACAAAAACGACAACAGCGTTGTCATAGTAATCCTCTGTATAGAATGAAACACTACCCAGTCTTGTACCATCCTCACAGTCTTGCTCTGTTTGAGCCCATTGTTGCAGCCACTGTATTAATCACCTTTTCGAGGGTCTTTCTACTTTTTGCTGACCCTTTACTTTATGAAGCGTGATATGCCTCTCTAGGGATTGGTCCCTCTTCATGACATGTCCAAAGTACATCAGATAAAGCCTTGCCACCCTGGCTTCAAAGAACCATTCTAGCTGTATTTCTTCCAAGACAGATTTGTTCATTCTTCTGGCAGCCTATGGTGTATTCAATCTTCTTTTACTGAACCATCATTCAAATACATCCATTCTTCCTCAGGCTTCCTTTTTCATTGCCAGCTTTTGTATGCATATGAGATGATTGAAAATATCCTGGCTTGGGTCAGGTGTGCCTTAAAACTCAAAGTGACGTCTTTGCTTCTTTTTTTTCCCTTTAGTACATTTAAGAAGTGTTTTTGTAGCAGTAGAGTATAGTAAAACTAACGATTAAATTCCTAAGTCTATACCACCAATCACTGAAAACAGAAGTTCAAATAAAATCTGACACTCAAATATTCATAGCAGCACTATTCACAACCCCAATTGTCCATCAGCAGATAAATAAAAGATTCTATATCCATGCAATGAATACTATTCCATCACCAAATAAGTAAAGTATGATACATGCTGCAATGTGGATGAACCTTGGAAACATTATGCTGAGTGAGAGAAGCCAGACACAAAAGGTCACATATTATGAGATTGTATTTATATGAAACATCCAGAATAGGCAAATATAATACTGAGACAGGAAACAGATTTGTGACTGGCAGGTACCACGGTGATAGGAGAAATGAGACATGACCACTTAATAGGTACAGGGTCTCCTTTTGGGCTGATGAAAATATTTTGGAACTAGATATTGGTGATGATTGTACAACCTTCTGATTGTACAAAATGTCACGAGTGGTGAATTTTATGTGTATTTCACTGCAATGGAAAGAAAAATTAAAATGGAAACAGTCATTTGTACTGGGGGTGGGGGTGGGGAGGAGGTCTCTTCTTTTGTGCTGCATCTGTTTTGATGCCCTGGGATGTGTGTGGTCATCCCTGTCTCCCTAGTCTGCCCATCGTATTGGGCCAGGCTGTGGCTTGAACTTACCTGAGCAGATGGGTTCTGGGCTGCTCCAGTGGGGCTTGGAGGCATTGATGCATGTCAGCATCTTGGCACCCTGGAGCTCATAGCCTGGGTGGCAGTGGAAGTGAGCCACACCACCTGAGTGCAGGTCCATCACGGTCACATCCCCATAGTCAGGTCGTCGGGGAAAATTACAGCTCAGCATGAAGGCTGGGAAGAAATGCAAAGACAGTACAGTCATCTCTCAGCAGGGGAAGCAAAGAACATCCTAGAGTCCATTTGTGCTGAGGAGCAAAGATGACACCCCTGGGGACTTTGAAATGCCAGGGGAGGATATTTTTGTGACTCTCATTGGTCAGATGGTGCTGAAAGTGTCTGGCTGGCACTTCCTTGAGGCCACAAAGTCCTCACCCTGCTTAACCAGGGACATCTAATTTGGAGGTGAAAAATGAGGTCTCCATACTTTGTTTAAAGGTCCCTGGGCAGCAACACATGATTTGCACTCAACTACTCACCTACAAATTGGCAGTTTGAATCCACTCAGTGTTGCCTTGGTCGGAAGGCCTGGCATCTGCTTCATATTACAGCCAAGAAAGCCCTATGAAACAGTTCTACTTTGTCACATGAGCTCACTATGAATCAGTATGTACTTGATGGTGATGGACTTGGCCTTGGTTTTCAAATCTTATCTGAGGCTCTCTCCAAGTGGGCATAGAGTAAGTTTGTCCTCAAGTATAGGGGAGGGTCAGGCAGTTTTCCCCAAATAGAGACATCTTCAAATACATCTTTGTATTTATTGCAAATGCAACTTGGACCAGAGTTAGAAGAACCAACTTTTCAGGTAATGCCCAAGAATATGACAATAACTGGCCTGGGACAAATTGAGGGTATGGACTTTAAAGGGAGACCAATATAAGTATATATTCATGCTCTATCACTTAGAAACTCTGTCTCCTAGCTATCTAGTGTTGCCAGAACACAAATACCATTTTAACAAAAATTTATTCTATCGTAGTTTAGGAGGCTAAAAGTCTGAATTCAGGGTGTTAGCTCTAGGGAAAGACTTTCTTTCTCTCTGTTGGCTCATGGAAAATGTTCTTGTCTTCTTTCTCCATCTGTGGACCTGGTGTCCCTTGACATTGGTCTTCCTTGGGTCTATGAGGTTCTCAGCACAGGGATCCTGTGTGCAAAGGATGCACTCCACTCCAGCTCTTCTTTTTTATTTTTTCCTGAAGGCCCTGAATCTCTGATTACTTCACTCTCCTTTTATCTCTTATCAGCTAACTCCCTTTACATGGGATCAGGGTTATGCTGAATAAGGGGAGGTGCATCCCACTGTAACCCCCTTACAACTGATTGGCTGATCACACCAGATCATATCATGGGAGATCGTTTTATTATCACATTACTGCCAGATTACATCATTACGTAACTGCTAAACCACTGTGAATCATGACCCAGCTACACTGACACATATGTTTTAGGGGCACAATCAAATTCAAGGTATTCCATCCCTCGACCCCCAATAATTCGTGTCCTCGCCACCTGCAAAACACATTCAGCCGATCACTTCATTGTAAATATCATAAATCAACTCCAAGTCTAAATTACATACTGGGTCAAAATTCCTCTTCATTTGCTTCCAAAGTACAGTGGTACAGCAGGCACAAGCTCCATTGAAGGGAAAGACTGCGTAATGGGCACCAAGAAAGCAAAAAACAGCAGACCAATTTATATTATCTTTCAAGGCTTGAAAACAATCCTCTGTTCTGTGAGACCATATAGTCACTGGGCCTTCCTTCTAGACATTGGGTGTTAGCCAGGCTTTTTGGATTCTGAGTGGTAGTCCCTCAGTCCTGGGTTGCAGTTTTACTAGATGGCAACTCTGCCACCTCAGCTGTGATCAACTGCACTCTTCGAAGTCCAATTGACTGGCAACCCCATCCCACAGCCCTGGCAGCTGGTTCTTCTGTCCCTTGGGCATGGCAGTCAAACCCATCAGCTTTGGGCAGTGGATCCTGCCTCACTCATGAACAGCAACCCAAAATTCCCAAACAGAGTTGGTGAAGATCTGGTTCTGAAACCTAGAAGGTTGTAGCCCCACCCTTTGGAGATTGAGGCAGCCTTGCTTCCTGTGCTTCTTGTCTCTTCAGCTTTTGCTTCCTGGTTCCATGACTGCTCTAACCCTCAGCCTTGTGGGCCTCTTGGCCTTTGCCCTGCTCAGGCAAGTGTTACAAAGCTCTTTAGCTCTGCCATTGTCTGGAGGCACCCTATTCTGCCAGTAAGCCTCAGCCTGAAGGCACTTAGCTCTCTTACTCCTTGGGTTGGCAAGTCTAACTTCATTGGCAAGTGTCTGGAGGTATCCCCCACACACAACTGTCTTGATCCATGAGTTGGCTCTTATACTATCTCACACCTTCTTTCACTGCTTCTCTGACATTGCCTTTCCATCAGCATTCTGGTGTTACAGTTCTCACTTCATTCTAAGCCTTCACCAGAAGTGCCTTTGACACCATAAATCCACCAACAGTCTCTTCAAAGTAACCTTGTTGTTGTTGGTGTGAAGTGTTTTCAAGTCAGTTCCAACTCATGGTGATCATGTATAGGGCTTCCAAGGAGCACTGATGGGTTTGAACCACTGACCCTGTGATTAGAAGCCTATAGCAACACACCAGGACTCCAGTGTAATCTAGGCATTTAGTATTCACTGCCATTGAGTAGATTCTTACTCATAGCTACCCTGTACAGGGTTTCTGAGGTTGTAAATCTTTACGGGAGCAGAATGCTGCATTTGTTTTACTCAGAGTGGCTGGTCAGTTTGAACCGCTAACTTTTTGGTTAGCAGTCCAGGTTGTGTGCTACAGAGCCACAATGCTTTTATGATTGCTGTTGTTGTTAAGGTTTCTGGGGAATGGCTGGTGGGTTTGAACCACTGATCTTGTGTAGTCCAGTGCTTATCCTACAGTGCAACACCAGGGCTTCAACTATTAGATACCTGGAAACTCTTCTAACTTTTACCTATTACCCTATTTCAAAACCAGTTCCACATTTTAGGTATCTGCTAGGCCAGCACTCACTCCCTGTACCAAATTCTGTCTTTCTTATCTAGTGTTGCTTTAACAGAACATGGCTCCAACCAACGGAACTTTACTCTAGCACAGTTCAGGAGGTATGGAGTCTGAATTCAGGTTGCCAGCCCTAGAGGAGGCGTTCTCTCTCTCTTGAATCAGGGGGTAGGTCCTTGTCTCCTTTCAGCATCTATTGGCCTTGGAGATCCCCATGTGCCTTGGCATCGGTCTGCTCTTGACTCTAGGAGGTTCTCAGTGCAAGGACCATGAGTCCATAACTGCCCAACTACTGAGAATCATGGTCCAGCCACATTGACACATATTTTGTAAGGACACAGTTCAATCCATGACACTCTAAGACACTAAGTGGCTTAGTGAAAAGCATCCCTCAAGTCCACTTTCCTCATTTTCCCAGCGTGGTTCCAAAAGATCAGCACTGGACTGCTAACCACAAGGCTGGCAGTTCAAATCCACCAGATGCTCCTCAGAAACCATATACTATGAGTCTGAACCGACTTGAGGGCACTTAACAGAGACAACCCTAAAGGAGTGGTGAGAGGACTGAATGAGACAAGTTAGAGAAGAGCCTCCAGAAAATACCGGTCCCATAGCTGCTGCTGTTATTGTTAAGTGCTATTAAATTGGTTCCGACACATAGTGACTCTGTGGGTTAGATTAGAACTGTGTTCCACAGGCCCTTCTTCTGAGGTGCTTCTTGGTGGACTTGAACCTCCAACCTTTTGATGAGCTGCTGAGTACATTTGTACCACCCAAGAGGCCCTGCAATATAGAATACCTGTTTCCTAGCACTAATTGGGAGGAAGGCCCCTGGCAGCACAGTGGGTTAAACTTTAGACTGCTAACCAAAAGGTCTACAGTTGGAACCCACCAGTCATTTCAAGGCAGAAAGATGTACTAGTCTGCTTCTATTAAGATTACATCTTTGGGAAACCTAGGGAGCAGTTCTACTCTACCCTATAGGGTTTCTATAGTCAGAATCAACTCATTGGCGGTGAAGTTTTCATTACCCACTCAATTCTGGCTCATAGCAGCCCTCTAGGGCAGAGCAGAACTTCTCCCTAGGGTTTTGAGGCTCTCAGTCCTTATAGAAACATATTGCCTCATCTTTCTTCTAAGGAGTGACTGGTAGGTTTGGGATGCCGACTGTGTGGTTAGCAGCCCAATGCTTAACCCACTGCACCACCAGGGCTCCTCAGTGGGTAATTGGGAGGAATAAATGCAGCCCCCTTTTTAAATGAACAAAGATGACAAAGAGTACAGAGGTTCTGATGAAGTGAGTATTCTCACACATCTGCTTCAGAAGGAAATATTAGAAATGAGTTGCTTTTTTCCTGAGATCTGGTCAATGTGATATGGGTGGGGGTGGTCTCCCATATCCAGATGTGTGGTTCATAACGTCACTTTCCATTCAGTTATTTTGGCAGCAGGTGCAGATGGAGGTGGTGGTGGTGGGGCAGGGTGGCTAAGAGAAGGGAGGAAGGAAAAGGAGACAAGATGTGAAGTAATAAGGAGGAAGAGAAGATGAGGTGGGGGGAATGGGAAGGGAGAAAAGGAAGAAATAAAAGATACCAAAAAAAGAGAAGGTGAAGAGAAGGAAGGAAGGAAGAGAAGAGAAAAGAGAAATATGAGCAGAAAGTAAGAGAGGACTTAGAAATAGACAAAAGAGAAAGAAAAATTGCAGCGGAAGGAAGAAGGAGAGAAAGAACCTGGTGTGAAAGCTCTACTGCAGTAATTTTGGGGTTTCAGGGGCCCACGAACAGGGATGAGAGAAAGTGGCTATGTTCATTTACCTCTATCAGAACTGGGGTGATTCTTTAGATCATGGTTGGTTTGATTGGCTGGCTATGCGCTGTGGAGTTGGTTCTGACTCATAGTGACCCTGTACAGGCTTTCCAAGGCTATAAATCTTTATGGAAGTAGAAAGCCTCATCTTTTCCCCACAGAATAGCTGGTAGTTTCTAACTGCTGACCTTGAGGTTGGCAGCATGACTCGTAGCTACTATGCTACCAGAACTCCTCTCAACCACAAAGGTGGTCAATGAACCATAATATATAGATTGGTAGAACCCGTGGCTTTACCACCAGAGAAATCACAGCTAGTGTTGTCTCATGATGGATTTCTTGATAGTTTCTTCATGCTCCTCATTTCTCTGAAATGATTAGATATTGTTATTTAATGTGCTAACAAAGAAGCAGATACTTTATCAAAGATTAAAAGAATATTTTGACAACTATATTGAAATATCACAGGTTTCCTTTAGAAAATGCTTTTAAACACACTATTTTGGACTCCTGATGTGACGCTGTAAGATCAGCACTGGACTGTGAACCACAGTGTCGGCAGTTCAAACCCACCAGCTACTCCTCAGAAACCCTGTACAGGGTTGCTACAAGTTGAAATTGACTCAATGTCACTTAACAACAACAATAATTCTGAAAAGGGATTCCATAGGTTTTGGAACAGATGAGGTTCCTGGCACAAGAAGTTTAGGAACCCCTGGTGCCCAGGGCAGATGGAGAGGGGGCACCTGCATCTCAGGAGCCAGGCTGACCCTACCTTGGTAGTGCAGTTGGAAGGTGCTGAGGCCATCCTCCTGAAAGGTCCGGAAGTAGATGGAGATGGTGTTGGTGGGACTGCGGATGACCTGGCCCTCCACCAGGAGTGTGTGGTTGGCCAGAACAGTCAGGGTGGGGCCATCCACCCCCCGGATGGAAAGCAGCTCCCCCTCGGACAGGTTCACACTTTTCACCTGGGGGTAAGTAGGGGCAGACAGAGAGAAACTCAGAAGTTGTTTTTGAGATAAGGACCTTGAGGTTGTCAATGTGGTACACCTCAACCAGCCCAGGCACTGCCCTCTGACATCCTCCTGTCCACCAGCCTAGACAATGAAACTGCCCCATCCCAATGGATCCCTGGGAATGTGTGGGCACCTCTTGTCTCCCCCAAGGCTGGGTGACAGAATGTGACCAAGCTGGGACAGAGGATTTATAAGGGGAATGTGATCTGTGAGCCCCAATCCCTCCATGTGGGCCTCAGGAGAGAGGCACTGCCAGGTTCATAAAGCTGCAGAACCAGAGCACTCCAACTCCTGTGCTAAGCTCTGGGACCTTCCTGCTGTGGTCCAAACTCCTGATGAGACCATACAACCAACTGGCTCAAAAACTCCCATGGCTTTCTGTGGTCCATCAGAAAAAGAAACAGATCCAAACTCTAATCTACCACCGAGGCTATCAACTTCCATCCTCTCCTCCACAGTGACTGGGACAACGCTCCACTCTTCAATCTGTTTCCTTGGCCCACATTAAAAAGGACTTTCTGAAACAGGGTGGTGAGCTGGGGGAGGCCTGGAACTAAGGTGACTGTGGGGAGGGTAATGCTAATAGGCATCTCTCTATCTCTCTTGCTTTTCCTCCTCTCCACCCTCTTTTTCTCTCTTTGCTGGTCTCTGCCTACACTTCGGTATTTACTCCTCTCAAGTCTTTTCGAAGCAGGCACATTAGTGTCTCTATTTCCTTGATGGGGGAGTTTAGGCTCAGTGAGGTGAGGTCCCTGGCTCAAAGTCATGCAACTTTAACTGGCAGGGTTGAGACTTAATACCTGGACATTTGATTCTAGAAATCAAGCCCCTCAGTGCTCTGCTTGCTTATTCTTCACTCACAGGCAGACAATGATCAAATGAAGCTGGTGGGACTTCTGAGAGTTTGTGTGTGTCTATGTGTGTACCTGCGTGTCTATGCCTGTGTTTGCCTGTGCGTCTTTGTGTCTATGTGTGTGCCTGTCTGCATGTGTGCCTGCATATGTCTGTGTGCTCCTCTGTGTCAATGAGTGTGTCTGTTGCTGTGTATATGCATCAGTGTGTGTGCCCATGTAATACGTGTCTGTGTGCATAAGTGGGGCTTCAGGGTAATGTTGTTCTGTGTGTAGCACCTCACAGATGATCAGCATAGCCTCTCCTTGTGCTCTAAGTTACTTCACTGGGGACTCAGCAGAACATACGTAGATTGAGAAGGGTTGGAATGCTGAAAGCGTGCCTCACTCAGACAATTGTCTAGGGACCACCTGCTAGCACCACGGACATCCTTCTGGGTTTACCTGCAGCTCCACCCCGTAGCCAGTGTAGACAGTCACGTTGTACGTGCACTCCAGGAAGCTGTTTAGGGGCAGCGGTGGGTAGTCGTTGGAGTCGATGTACCCCTCGGGGTCTGAGAAGCTCACGCTGCAGAGAGCTGGAGGGAGGGTGGCATTTTTGTTAGGGCACTGTGGAGCTCAGAGTAAGGTCCCAGGTGGCATGGACTGGAACGCACTCTCCGGGGACACCTTCATTCCCCCGTCTCCACCCTCCCACTGTTGTTCATGCTCCTGTCCTCCAGAATCAATGTGATGACACAAACCACAGCTGTGGGCGTGGGAGGACTACTTCCTACATGGTGCCAGGCAGCATGCTAACCTAGACACTGGAGGACACGTTTCATTCCCATAGGGGCAGGTGCTTCATTCCCATTTTAGAGACAAGTAAACCGAAGTTTAAGGTTGGCGATTCAAAGTTACCCAGAGCAGGAAAACAGCCTGGTGATCTTCTTCTGTCAAAATTACAGCCACGAAAGCCCCATTGGAGGCAGTTCTACCCTGTCACATGGAGTTGCTATGCATAAGAACGGATTAGAAAGCACCGAAACCACCAGCTGTTCTGTAGGAGAAAGATGAGGCTTTCTGCTCCTGTACAGATTTATAGCCTAAGACACCCTGTACAGGGTCACTATGAGTTGGAACCGACTCCACAGCACATAACAACAACAACATAAACAACATGCAGGCACACACACAAACAACCACCACCATTTGCCTGTCATTTTATCATACTGTGATGGCTTGGATATTGCTGTGATTCTGGAAGCGATGCCACAGGTATCTTAAACATCAGCAGGGCCACCCATGGTGGTCAGGTTTCAGCAGAGCTTCCAGACAAAGACAGACTAGGAAGAAGGAGAGTCTGACTATTTCTGAATATTTACCCACTGGAAACCTTGTGAATAGCAGTGGAACACTGTCAGATATAATGCCCGAAGATGAGCCCTTCAGGTTGGAAGGTACACAAAATACGACTGAGGAAGAGATGCTGCCTCAATGCAAAGTTGACCTTGACAATGAGAATGGAGCAAAACTTTTGGGACTTTCAGTTGCAGATGGAGCATAGCTCCAAATGAGGAGGAACAGCTACAAACACCCATTAATAATTGGAACATGGAATGTACAAAGTATGAAACTGGGAAAACTAGAAGTTGCCAAAAATGAAATGGAAGGCATAAAGATCAATATCCTAGGCATTAGTGAGCTGAAATGGGTTAGTATTGGCCATTCTGAATCAGACAATAATATGGACAATAATATGTTAGGAATGACAAACTCAAGGAAAATGGTGTTGAATTCATCATACATTTCAAGATTTATCTTGAAGTATAGTGCTGTCTGTGATAGGATAATATCTGTATGCCTACAAGGAATACCAGTTAATACCAATATTCAAATTTACAGACCAACCACTAAAGCCAGTGATGATGAAATTGAAAAAGTCTACTAACTTCTTCAGTCTGATATTGATCAAACATGCAATCAAGATGTACTGATAATTACTGGTGATTGGAATGCAAAGGTTGAAAACAAAGAGGACCTTGGTGATAGAAATGATGTTGGAGATAGCATGATAAATTTTTGCAAGACAACTTATTTAAGGAGCTCTGGTAACATAGTGATTACCACTGGGGCTGCTAATCTCAAGGTCAACAGTTCAAAACTACCAGCAGTTCCACAGGAGAAAGAGGAGGCTTTCTGCTCCTGTAAAGATTTACAGCCTCAGAAACCCTATACTGGGTCACTGAGTCATAACTGACTCCACGGCACCTAACAACAACAACAACAACAATGACTTATTCAGAGTCCTGGTTTGGTGCTGTTGGATAATGCATTGGACTGAAAGGTCGGTGGTTCAAATTCACCAGCCATTCCTTGGAAACCCTATACAGGATTACTATGATTTGGAATCGACTCCAAGGCTCTTAAACAACAACAAATGACTGATTCATTGCAAATACGTTTTTAAAACAACAGACAACTATACACATGGACCTCACCAGATGGAATACACAGAAATCAAATTGACTATATCTGTGGAAAGACACGGTGGAAAAACACAATATCATCAGTCACAACAAGGCCAGTGGCAGACTGGAAAAGACTATCAACTGCTCATATGCAAGTTCAGGCTTAAATAGAAAAAAATTAAAACAAATTCACAAGAGTCAAAATATGACCTTGAACATATCACACCAGAATTTAGAAACCGTCTCAAGGATGGATTTGATGCATTAGACAATAATAATCAAAGAACAGAAGAGTTGTGAGATGACATCAAAAACAGCATACACGAGGACAGCAAAAGGTCATTAAAAAGGCAGAAAAAACCAAAATGGATGTCAGAAGAGACTCTGAAAATCGCTTTCAGTGTAGAGATGCTAAAGTGAATGGAAGAAATGATGAATAAAATAGCTGAACAGAACATTTCAAAGAGTATCTTGAGAAGGCTAAGTCAAATATTATAATGAAATGTGCAAAGACCTGGAGTCAGAAAACTAAAAGGGAAGAACATGAACATGTTAAAGCTTCAATTTGCAGTATTGAAGGATTCCATGGGCAAAATATTGAATGATACAGAAAGCATCAAAAAAAGATGGAAGGAATACACAGAGTCATTGTACCAAAAAGAAATGGTAAATATTCAGCCATTGTAAGAGTTACCATTTGATCAAGAACCGATAGTACTAAAGGAAGAGGTACATGCTGCACTGAAGGAAATGGCAAAAACCAAGTATCCAGGAATTGATGGAATAGAACAAACTGATGCTGCACTGGAGGTACTCACTCATCTAGGCCAAGAAATTTGGAAGACAGAGAGAACAAACAAGATGGTGGATTGGGTGGAAGCTGAGTGAGGAGATCCGTCAGCAACAACACAGGATACTGGACCAAGCAGGCTGAGAGGATGGTCCCAGAACTGTGAACTACTTATAAAGGAATTTTTAGAAAGTTGGAAGGCTTATAGCCAGTGGAATTTGTAGCAGAAGCAAGAAATCCAGTGCTTTCTAATCCAAGGTACTCAGCTGCTCCCTAAGCAGCTGTCTTAGGCAAAACTGAACCGGGAAAGGATCAGAGCAGCCACGGACAACTGACAGAGCCATGGAGATAAAGGAAGAAGAGTAAAAAGGGAAGCCCATCTCCTGATCACATCTATCTGGAGGCAATAAAAAAACATAAAAAATAACAAAACACACACTCATCTAAGTTTTAAGGCCACAGCTAACCACTGAATATGGCCATAAAACAGAAGCAGATGACCATATCAGCACATATCCAGAAACAAGATAAAGTGACTGAGACAAATGAGCTGGAGGCAGACCTACACGCCATACTCAAAGGAGGGCAGGTTTTAGAAATACCAGAGAATGAATTCATAAAAAGGTTATAAAGTGTTTCAAAACACTTTACAATGGAGTTGAGAAAAATAAGGAAGAAGTCAGGAAAGCGCTTACAGGAACAATTAAATAAGATGGATACAGCATTGGAAACAATTCCAAAACCTACAGAAAGAGATCCAAATGATTAATAAACAGAATATCAGAAACGGACAATACACTGAAAGGGCAAAGGAGTAGAATTGAAGAGATGGAAGCCAGAACTAGTGAGCTAGAAGATAAATCTCTCAATACCACTAACATAGAAGAACAAACAGAAAAAAGGATAAGAAAAATCTGAAGAAGGTCTAAGATTCATGTTGGACAACATGAAGAGGAATAACTTAAGAATTATCAGCATTCCAGAAAAAAGAATCACACAAGTCCACAGAAGAAATAGTTGAAGAACTTCTGGAAGAAAATTTCCCTAACATCCTGAAAAATGAAAAGATTAGCATCCAAGAAGCTCAATGAACTCTAGAAAGGATAGACACTAAAAAAAAAAAAACACCAAGACATATAATAATCAAGCTCTACAAAATCAAAGATAAGGACAGAATCCTGAAGGCAGCTAGGGAAAAGAGAAGTGTAACATACAAAGACAAGAAAATCAGACTAAGCTTGGATCTCTCAGTAGAAACCATGCAGGCAAGAAGGCAATGGGGAGACATATATAAAACCCTGAAAGCAAAAAAACTGCTGACCAAGAATCCTCTACCTAGTAAAGCTGTCAATCAAATACGATGGTGTAATCAAAACATTCCAGGATAAACAGGCGCTAAGGGATTTTTGCCAAAGCCAACCCTGCAATGAAAAACATCATAAAGGGAGTTCTGTGGGCAGAGAACCAATAAGAACAGACAACAACTAAAGGATGACGTACATGGCAGCATCACCTGGAAGTCAATTGACAGATGGAAGAGTAGAGAACAGAATAAAACTAAAAGAAAAAATTCAGATGATCTGGGAGGTCAGTCTATGATAAAAACAATTACATTGTAAAATAAGGTAAACCCAGAGGAACAGAAATCTAGGTGGTGGGAAGGTCAAGTAAATTACAGGATAAAACAGACTGTCTTAAATGGAGGGAAAAGTTAAAGGAATATAAGGTAACCATAACAGTGGGGTTGGGATGGGAAGCTTCGGGGGAGGTGGAGGGAGGCAATGGTAGAGCACAGGGTAAAGGCAGACATGTCATAGTTCGGGTGTTGGGTAGGGAAATACAAGAAGGGCAAGGAGGTGGAAGAACAAGGTAGATAGGGGAACACTGAGACAGGTTTGCATGACCTAGTGGGACAGAAGTGAATAGTGATGCATGCTCAACTTTGGAACAACAGGGCTCTGGGATACAGGGATCTAGGTATAGATTGAAGAGGGAAAATAATACTAAGATGCCTGACTGTCTTATGAATATTGTTTTCCTTTGCTTACCGTTGTAAAATAGACACTTGTGTGGGATAGAAAGGAATGTTGGGAAACATGATTACAGAAAACTTGCAAGCCTGTCTTCAGTCTTTAACTGACTGGAATACCCAAAAGGGGTTCTACAACTTGCCCAGTGAAACAGGCCTCTTGTGGAGCTTTCACAGAGTACAGGACCTTAGGTGGAATCCTGAGTCCTATCCAGAACCTTCTGAGATGGGACATTTCCCCCCTAGAAAGGATTAGCAGTCCAGCCTAGAACAGCTAGAGCAACAGAAGATGCATCTTCAAAGAAAGAACATCAGGAAAAACCCAAAACAAAAATGACAGTATGACTGGCTACTGCAAGAATAAGCACGGTGTTCGCTGAGAAGCCATCAAGGCAAACAATCAAGTTCCTTCAGGACAAACCCCCCTCTAAGACTGAAACTCAAAGGGAACACATGAGCAGGCATGTAAGCTTGCTGGTGAGCACGTTGGTCTACTGGTGAGTGGAAGAGGGGGAAAGGCAGCAATGAAGAAATGGGCTGAGTTCAACCATGGTTCATTGACTCCCATTGACCTAGAGATGAGACAGAGAAGAGGAAGTGCTGCTGGTCCAATGTGTAGTGAGACCTGGGGACACCTGAGCCCATGGACAAGGAAATAGCCAGAGGACTAGAGCTGAGAGTGAAACATCCAGCTGATATGAAGTGACGGGAGAGGCACAAAAACACCCAAATTTGCAGATAGTAACTCATTTGACCTAGCCTTGAATGGCTTGATAATCAGAACTCGACTAGAGGAAGATTACAAAACAACAACAACTTCTGATAAAGGAAACAAGGGTAAATTGCTACAATTTGATGAACTTGACCTATACTCATGGAGATAGGAACTCTAAATACCAACAGAGAGGGGAGTCTTCACATCAAGTATCAATGCTATCCCCTCTGTACACAGGATGTAGAGGGACAGGCAACTTAGACATTGGATACCTAAAATGAGGGGGAGATAAAGGCACAAAGTAACTGGCTTAGATGATTTCAAGAGGGAGTATGGGGGAAGAAGGAGTCCTCACTGAATAGTTGTCATCTTGTCTAGATAGGTCTGGTTAAAAGAGATGGGGATGCAGCAAATCAAAGAGGGAAAAAATCTTTAAAGCAAAGATCACTCCCACCCCCTCCATACAGAGTAGACAGGGATGGGCAACTTGGACATTGGCTACCCAAAATGGGGGGGCTACAAAGGCAAAAAGTGACTGGCTTACAAGCTTTCAAGAGGGTACCTAGATCCAGAGGGCGTGAAGGAAGGTAGAATCGCCACTGAGTAGTATCCAATCTGTCTAGGCGGGACTGATGAAAGGAAATGCGGATAGGTCTCTTGTGATACAAGGGCGAATAATTGTTACCAGGACTGATTGTGAAGGTTGTAAATGTAAAAATAGACATTTTGTGGCAAGGAGGGGAGTGATTAACTTTGCAGACTAGGAGCGGAGGTCCCTGGGACCATCAAGGGAGAAGAACGGAGAGCAGGACCCTACCCAGAGAAGCAGAGCTCCCAGAGATGGAGGCAGAGATGATGTGGAAAGATGGAGCAGCTGGGGACTCAGGACCCAGGGAGAGAGAGGGCCTGTGTCTGATGACTGGGGTGGGGCTGGGGGAGCAGGCTTGTAGGATGTACCCTTTTGTTGATTGGTGATGCATGGAGGGGACTGTAACCATGGCAATGAAACAATATATGATAGAATGAATGTAAAACTAATGTTCTCCCATGTAAACTATCACATAATTCACAAGAAAACTTAAAAAAATAATAAATAAAAGAGATGGGGATAAGATTCTTATGATTCAATAGTGAGTAACTGTTATCACGACTAATTGCGGCTGTCACAATTGTAAAGGTAGAAGTTTTGTAACAAAAATGGGGGAGCAGTTAATGTTACAGTCCAGAAACAGAGGATCCTAGGACCATCAAGGGAGAAGAGCCCAAGCGGAATGCGGGACCTTATGCAGAGAAGCAGTCACACCAGAGATGGAAGCAAAGACGGGGACATGGAGAGAGGGAGTGGCTGCGGACTCTAGATTCATAGAAAGAGAGGGACTACGAGATGGTGGCCATGAGGCAGACTTGCAGAATGTGTCCTTTAGAGGAGAAAATTATTATGTATGCCTGAGTGTTTTTTTGTTTTTTTTTAAAGAGTCAAAGTGAATATAGAGAAATACTGTTAATTGATGATACATGGAAGGGACTGTAATCGTTGTGATGAAACAAGTTGTATGATTTGTTGAATGTAAAACTGATGATCTGCCCTGCAAACTTTCACTCAATCCACAATAAAAACTTACAGAAAGAAAAAAAACAAACCCAAACAGTATGTTAGCATACAAAAAAAAAAAAAAAAGAAAAAAGAAATTTGGAAGACAGCTATTTGTCCAACCAATTGGAAGAGATCCATATTTGTTCCCATTCGAAAGTGTGTGACCTAATAGAATAAGGAAATCATTGAACAATACCATTAATATGACTTGCAAGTAAAATTTTGCTAAAGATAATTTAAACATGGCTGCACCAGTACATTGACAGGGAACTGCCAGAGGTCCAAGCTGGATTTAGACGAGGATGTGGAACAAAGGATATGACATCATTGCTGATGTCAGATGGATCTTGGCTCAAAGCAGAGAATTCCAGAAGGATGTTTATTTATGTTTTATTGACTATACAAAGGCTTTTGGCTGTGTGGACCGTGAAAAACTATAGATAACAGTGAGAAGAATGGGTGTTTCAGAATACTTGATTGTGCTCATGAGGAATCTGCACATAAACCATGAGGCAGTTGTTTGAACAGAATAAGGAGACATTGAGTAGTTTAAAATCAGGAAAAGTGCGGGCCAGTTGTATTCTTTCACCATACTTATCCAATTTGTGTGATGCGCAAATAATCTGAAGAAGAACGTAGTATCAAGATTGGAGGAAGACTCATTAACACCTGTGATATGAAGACGATGCAACCTTGCTTGCTGAAAGTGAAGAAGGCTTAAAATACTTACTGATGAAGATCAAAGACCACAGCCTTCAGTATGGCTTGTACCTAATGAACATATTGTCACAACTGAACTAATAAATAACATTATAAATGGAGAAGAGATTGAAGTTGCTAAAGATTTCATTTTGCTTGGAGCCACCATCGACACTCATGGAAGCAGCTTCAAGAAATCAAACAAAGAATTGCATTAGGCATATATGTTGCACAAGACCTCTTTAAAGTGCTAAACATCAAAGTTGTCAGTCTGAAGACTAAGCCTGACTTAAGCCATGGTATTTTCAATCGCTTCATATGCATTTGAAAGTTGAACAAGGAATAAGGAAGAACATAGAAGAATTCATGCATTTAAGTCATGGTCTTGGAGGAGAATATTAAAAGTACCCTGGACCGCTAGAAGAACAAACAAATTAGTGTTGGAAGAAGTCAGCCAGAATGCTCCTTAGAAGCCAGGATGTCGAGACTTTGTGTCATTCTTTGGACATACTATAGGGAGGGACTAGTCCCTGGAGAAAGACATCATGCTTAGTAAAGTGTAGGGTCAGCAAAAAAAGAGGAAGACCCCCAATGAGATGGATTGGCACAGTGGCAGCAGCAACAGACTCATGTGTAATAACAATTGTGAGGGTGGCAAATGACCGGGCAGTTTCTTTCTGTTGTGCCTAGGGTAGCTAAGAGTGGGAACTGACTTGATGACAACAACAGTAACAAGTGACCCAAGGACAAAGTTCAGAAGGGTTAGGAAAGAAGGAAGAATGGACACAGGAAACACAGCAGAGGATGGGGGGGTGGAGGTGGGGGGTGGGGGAGGGAGACAAGTCATGTTACATTGTGGGGATGGCATCAATGATATGAAACAAAGTGTCTGAATTGGTGAATGGTGAAGGGATCTGCTTGTAAACCTTCACCCAATTCACAATATGAAAAAAAATTTTTCTTTTCTTTCTTTCTTGCTTTTTTTTTTTTTTTTTTTTTTTTTTTTTTAAATGAAAGCCCTTTGTTTAAAAAATTCTGGTTCCAAGATGAAATGGTTTTCAATCTTGCTCCTAGCTGTGTGGCTTTGGGCAGTTTGCTTTATGTTCAGGGTCTCTGTTGCCTCCTCTTTAAAATGGGGATATTAACACTGATCTCACAGTGTCAAACTCACTGGGTCAATTCTCTCATGTGACAATATTATGTGACAACTTGTGTTTCTTTCCAACCCCCAAGACATGCTCAAGCTCTAACCTCACATACTTTTGAAAGCAAACTTATTTGGAAGCAGCATGTTTGCAGATGTAATTAGTTAACATAAGTCATATGGTAATAGGGTGGGTCCTAATGTCATCTGCCTGGTGTCTTAATAAGAAGAGGAGAAGACACACAGAAACACAGACTCATAGGGGAATTGGCCTTGTGGAAATGAATGTGGAGATTGGAGTGATGCATCTACAAGTCAAGTAACGCCAAGGGTGATTAGCAAACACCAGAATATAAAAGAGACCAGGAAGTGTTCTTCCCTGCAAGTTTCAGAGAGAATGGAGTCCTGCTGACCCCTCAGTTTTGGACATTTAGCTTTTAGAACTTGGAGACAATACATTTCTCTTGTTAATCCTCTTGGCACAGTAGCCCTACGTATGTCAAAGTAGAACAGCCCTCTGCTGTAAGTGTGATTTGATGGGCAATTGGTTTTTGGTTTTAAGTCACTAAGGGTTTTCAGGGCCTTGGGCAGCCCAATTTGTGCTTGCCTGTTCTCCTAAAGGCTGGTGGTTTGAATCCACCCTGAGGCATCACAGAAGAAATATCTGGTGGTCTGCTTCTCTGAAGGCTACAGTGAAGAAAACCTTCTGGAACTGAGTTCCACCCTGTTGCCATGCACCAGAGTTGACTGGACAGTGATAGGTTTGGCTTCTTGGTTTTGTTATGACCGCCCTAGGAAATGAGTATGTGTGGAGACTGGAATTACCCTAGAATTACCCCCATGGTGTCCTGCACGCACTGGTTGCACTGCTGCTGAGGGGAACGAGGCAGAGGGCTACTCACCTGGGGCCTGCTCTGTGGTGATGACCGTGGTGATGATGGTGGACGTTGTGGTCTCCTGGTTCTCCTCAGAGGCTGAGCCGGTCAGCTCATTCTCACCTCCTTTGTCCACCAGCGTCATGGGACTGGCCTCCTCTGGAGGGGCCTCCTGGCCTTCCTCCGGCCCCAATGAATCCCCGTGGGGGAGCGTGTGGGCCACGTAGGACTGCGATGTGAATGGGGATATCTGCAGTGGGGTAGGTGTCGTGGGGATACTATCTTCCTTCCGGTCCAGCCAGAGGGGTGTCTCTGATGCAGGCCGGCGTGTCTCTGTGGAGGGGAACAGGTCCGGGTCCCCCGGGGAATGGGGCTTCTCTGTGGATGCCGGCTGGGACATGGGTCTCAGGAGAGCTGCTGTGGGGGTCACCTTTGGTCTCAGCTGCTTTCTGGCTGTGTTCACCTGCTTGAGAGAAGGCGGCTTCCTCCTGGTGGCCAAGGTATGCTTGGCGCCCACCTGCTCTGGGGGCAGCGTGGACAGGGCCTGGGTGTCTGGAGGTACAGGAGGGGCTGTCCCTGGTGACTCCAGTTCTGACAGCCCGTCCTCAGCTGTGGTCACTTTCTCTTCAGGGTTGCTGCTCAGACTACTGCTCCCCAGGGCTCTTGAGGGTGGAGCATAAGTACCCGAAGAAGCAGCATCTCCCTCAGGGTGAGCATCTGAGGAAGAGAAGACAGACCAGTCAGCTTAGGAGCCAGGGCCTCAAGTCCTCAACCCTCTCTATGTCAGACTCTGGGGGGCCTCCTAGGGGTTGGGCCCAAAACCCAAACCAAACTCACTGCCACTGAGTTGATTCTAGCTCATAGCAACCCCACCCCATAGGACCGAGCAGAATAGCTCCTCAGGGTTTCTGAGGCTGCCAGTCTTCATGGGAGCAGACAGCTTCATCTTTCTCCCATAGAGTGGCTGGTGGGTTCGAATCGCTGACTTTCCGATTACCCTTTGTCACCCTTCAGGTCTGGAAATGAGCTCACCCCCATGGCTCAATTTTTAGCCAAACAATAGACGGGTCTATAAGGGGAACACACAGTCCAACACTTAACCCACTGCACCCCTAAGCCATATTTTCCTTTCTCCTCCTCCTTACCTTTCTTTTCTCATTCTCTTCCTCCTTTCTTTCTCTTCCTAAGCATTTATCACATCAAATAGAAATCAAAAGCTCTATGAGTCTCATGGCCTAGTTGTAAGTACATTGGAAAGAGGGACAGAAAAGCAGAACTCATTCTATTTAATGTGATAAATGCTTGGTAAGAGAGGCCCTTTGCATACATACCAGCAGCACCGAGAAAAGATGCTCCTAGCCCAGTCTGCAGGGCATGCTTGCCATGTGCGGTTGGGCAGGTTGTTCACTGCACAAGGGCATCTGACTGACAGGACTGGCACAGGGCTGAAAACTAGCAGACTCTTGTTCTTAGCTGTGTGCCCTGGTTCAGGGCTAGACCCTCCTTTGACTCATTCATATAAAAGAGACTTTGTGGGAGACACAGAATACGTTGGGGTCCAGAACGGTGAGACAGAGGTAAAGTGGAGATATGGCTGAGGTAGGTGCATAAAAAGAATTGCCAGGGGTGGAGAACACAGGTGTAGGAGATTAGAGATAAAGCTGGAAAGGTAGAGAGGTGGGAGCCAGGTCTTGGTGTTTCTAATGTCTGGTGATTTATAACCATTATCATTATTTTTATTGTTTGTTCATTTCCAAGGAGTGGTTGGTGGGTTTGAATCATTAACTGTGCAGTTAGCAGTACAGCGCTTATACTACATTATTTTATTTTTGTTGTTCTTAAGGGCTGTTGAGTTGGTTTCCGAGGAGTGGCTGGTGAGTTTGAACCACTGACCTTGCAGTTAAACCTTCCTTGTGGTCTAGTGCTTATCCTATAGTACCACACCAGGACTAGTAGTATAATACAAATAACATAAAATATACCTTTTTTTCCTTACAAAGTATACAACTCAGTAACATTAAGTATATTCCCAATGCTGGGCAGCCACCACTACTTTTAAATCTCAGAACTTTCCCATCACCCCTATATGCACTAAGCAGTAATTACTCATTACCACGCCCACTGCCCTAAAATTTATTTTTACCTTCAAAGTCAAAACCATTTCATAATTTAAAATAAGAGCTTGACCCAGGCAACTGACTGGCAAAACCATAGCAGGAATGTGCTTTGTTCACTTAATTTGAGACCTAGTTCTGCCAGTTACTGGCTGGCTACTGGCTTCACCTCTTGGAACTTCATTTCCCTCAGCTGTAATATAGAGCCAGATCCCTAACAAACGAAACCAATGACCATCGATTCAATTCTGACTCACGGCGACCCATGTGTTACAGAGTACGACTGACCCATGGGGTTTTCTTGGCTGTTGTCTTTATAGCAGTAGATTGCCAGAACTTGTTTCCTGGTGCTGCTAGGTGGGTTCCTAGGGATAATTTATTGCTGTTGTTGTTGTTAAGTGCTGTCCAGTCAGTTCTGACCAATAGTGACCCTGTATAGGGTTTCTGAGGCGCGATTTTTACCATGGATCTTGTGGATAGCAGTCCAGTGCTTATCCTACAGCACCACACCAGGACACCAAGTGTAAAGCACGATCTAGTAAGTAAATGGAGGTAAAGCATTGAGTTGTGTCTCCCAAAAGGCAAGTGTTTAGTGACTGCCAGAGGCTGTCATGGTTTTTGACTATTGTCCTTGTAATCACAGGCCCACTCAGGGATCCTGTGGGGTCAGAACATTCTAGATGAATGATCTGGAGATAGAGAGGAATGAGATCATGGCACAAAGGCCCTCGGATTGATAGCTTTCCTTATTGATTTTCTGTGGAGAAACACTCACTCAGCCCCAGTCTCCAAGTCCTTCGGTGCTGTCATTTAAATTTATTTCAGCAACCTTTGGAAAGGCTCATTTACTTTCATGGAGTTGGCGGCAGTGGCTTAATCTATATAGACTGCAACAGTTTGCAAGTAGCATCAACAAATGTCCCTGTTGTGTAAAGTTGATTACCAGCCAGCAAGCATTCTAGCCCACGGAGCAGGCTCAGTGTTGAGGAGGCGAGCATGGCCCAAGAGCAAGTCAAGGCACCAGAGGTGCCAGGACAAAGAGCTAGACCAAGAGTTGGGGACCCTGCATGGTGGTCCTATCTTGGCCACTACTCACTACCATAAATTAGTGTGGGGATCCTCTTCTCTCCCTATCGGTCCACTGGGCAAGACCAGATAAGATCTAAGGGCTTTCAGCTCTGACTGTTGGCTTTTGAAACGGCCAGGTTACTGACACTTGTTCTTGGGGCAGTTTGTGTATCCTAATAAATAAGAGGAAAGTGACAAGCCTGATTGACACTGTTTTGTAGGGCCCCATGGCCACATTAGTTTCAGCCATCCTTCTCATAAACATGTCCAATTGATCACAAGGGGAGAAGGAGGAGTGAGAGAGAGACAGGAAGATGGAGACAGAGAGTGATTATGAAACAAGCTATGCCTTTCTCACCTAAGAATAGCAATGAAAGAATTACAAATCTCATAAAACACATACTATAGTGATACAATGTTTTACTTTTGATTTCTTTATTGAGTGGTGAATATGTGTCAGACATGTGCTAAGCACTTTGCCTCTATTGTTGCTGCTGTTGTTAAGAGCTGTCCAGTTGGTTCTGACCCTTAGCTACCCTGCGTAGGGTTTCTGAGGAGCAGCTGGTAAGCTTGAACTGCCGACCTTGCCGTTCAAACGACTTTGCAATCCAGCACATTAATCCACAGCGTCACACCAGGACTCCTTACCTCTGTTACACCACTTAATTATAAAATTTTGAAAGCTTTTATTGTGAATTGGGTGAAGGTTTATGGAGTAAATCAGTTTTCCATTCAACACTACAGACACATTTTGTTCCAGCTCATTGATTCCCATCTCCACAATGTAACACCCCTTATCCCATTCCCTCCCTGGTGTTTCCTGTTTCCATTCCTCCTTCTTCTCTACCCCTCTCTGTCTTCTGAACTTTGTCCTTGAGCAAATAGTGTTTATTGGATCTCAAATGTTTGTTAGTTGTAAGGAGTGTGTGCCTCACTAGTATTGTTCTCTTTATAGATTTGTCTGTGGTATGCAGCGGGGAGTGTGGTGGCTCCATTCTATAAGCACTGCACTTTGAACCACAAAGTCCGTAGTTTCAGCCTGCCATTTGCTCCACGGGCGAAAAATAAGACTTTCTGCTCCCTTGAAAATTTAAAGCCTTGGAAACCCTATACAGGGTCGCTATGAATCGGAACTGACTCAACGGCACTTAACAACAACAAATGGCACACATCATTCAATTCCTACATAACCTTCATGGTGATTGTTGTTAGGTGCCTTCAAGATGACTTTTGACTCACACTCACCCCACTAGGTAAGAATTATTTTTTCCTGTTTCATGGATGAGGAAACTGAGGTTTATAGATGTTTAGTAACTTTCCAAAGTCACACAGTGAAGCTGGGTTTTAAACCTTGGTTGCCTCGGCCCCAAAGGCCATACAATGACCTCCCTCTTTTAAGAAATAGGAGCAATTATTATCACTTGGCATCTCCTCCTAAGGAGCCCTTGTGGCACAAGGGCTGTTTGAATCCCACCCACAGGAGAAAAGATCTGGCAATCTGGCCTTGTAAAGATTACGGCCTAGAAACCCTGTGGAGCAGCTCTGGTTAGTCACGTGGGAGCTGTACATGTTGGAAATCAACTCAATGGCATACAATAATAATAGTTTCCTCCTTCCCAACCTGAAGGAGACTCATGTTAATTTTTCTCTCCCTCATTTTTGTGTGTTTTAGCTGAGTGGCCTTTAGTGGTTTTCACACCTCCCAAATAATAAATCCTCTTGTAAAAACACACTGTTAGTTTCCCTGTCAGGTCCAACGAATTTGAATCTCTCAGAGTGGACTTGGGAGGCTGTAGATTTAAAAGCGCCTTCAGTGATGCTAGGTGCCTGAGAGGCACAAATAGTTTGCAATTGCCTGCTGATCTAAAGGTTGGTGATTTGAACTCATCCAATGACACCACAGAAGATAGGTTTGGCCATCTGATTCTATAAAGGTTTCAATCAAGAACATTCTATGAAGCCATTCTACTCTTCATACGCACGAGACTGCTATGAATTGGAATTGACTAAATGCCAAGGGTTTTCCAATGGTTGTTATGATCAGCATTCTCAGGGAATTTGGGAGAACTTGTGAACTTGCCTGAGATCCTATGTGTCCTTCAGTTTTACTTTCCAGGTGTCTGTGATTGCAGGTGACAGGTAAGAGTTATGTGGGTTTGTGCAGCAGGTAAAACTCTTTCCAAGGCATGTGAGCTCCTTTGGCGATCCCAACCTTCTACAACCCAAATCCAGCCCACAAGAGCAGAAGAAAACCAGATAGAAAGGATGCAAAACAGTTTCCTCCCCACAGACCTTGCTCCTGTTCCTCTTAGTCCCCAAACGACAGTGACTAAGCCATTTTAGTAAGGAAGTCCAGCTGAGTTGAAGGTCAGCCTTTCCTCTGACAGCCCAGCTTGCAAGGAGCATTGAATATCCCTCCATTCCAGCTCTCTGTCTGCAACATGGAGCTCTGGTAGTGCAGTGAGCAAAGAGATGTGTGGTTTACCACAACATCAGTGGTTCAAATACACAGGAGAAAGATGAGGTTGTCTGCTCCCATAAAGATTGACAATCTTGGAACCCTACGAAGCAGTTCTTCTCTGTCTCATAGGGTGGCCATGAGTTGGAATCCACCTGATGGCAGTGTGTTTGGATTTTTGTTTTGTTTGTTTTGGTTTACAACATCTGCTGCTCCTTGGTGCGCACAAGTCTGGATCTCGGTGGCTCCAAATGCCTGGTCATTTACAAGACAGATAAGTTAGTATTGAGGATGGTCTGCAGTCCATGAAGCCTGCAGGCCTTTGGCTCAGCAGGGATGTTGGTCAGATGAGCACCGTGCATAACCGAGCCCCACTGTAGATTGGTCAAAATTACATCCCAAGGCCTCAGAGATTCAGCAACTTCATAACTTGCTCTAATAGATTGTATTTTTCCAAGAGCCCAAGTGGTCATTGAGCTAAATTATCTCCTCTTCCTCAGAGCACTTAAAAAATCTCACTCATAGCAGTCTCATCGGGCTGATCCTTTCTCATATGAATCAAATGCTGTCCATCAGTCAGTCAGTCAATCAATCAATCAACAAAACCCTTGAGTGCCTACTGTCCCCTCTGGCATGTGAGCTCCACACAAAGTCAGTGCTCTAAGATATGACCTCTACTTTCAGTGAGTTAAGGAGCCTTGGCGGTGCAGCTGTTAAAGTGTTCAGATGCTAACCAAGTCACCCAGTGGCTTTTTGGAAGAAAGATGTGAAAATTCACAGCCTTGGAAATGCTCTGGGGCAGTTTGTACTCTGTCCTGCAGGGGTCCCTATGAGCCAGGTCCTACTTGACAGCAGGCATAGCAGAGTATGGTATGTGTCAAGCACAATGGTAAAAACACTCAGCTGCTATCCAAAAGGTCAGTGGTTTGAACCCACTGGCTGCTCTACAGGAGCAAGATGAGACTGTCTGCTCCCATCAACATTTACAACCTCAGAAAACCTATGGGGGCAGTTCTAGTCTGTCCTATAGAGTCACTATGAGTTGGAATAGACTGGACAACATTTTTTTTGGTGGGGGGCGTTGGAGGTACAACAAACAGTTAAGTGCTCAGCTCTTAACTGGAAGGTTGATAATTCAAACCCACTCGCCTTTTGTTGAAGATGAACACAATGGCATCCAGCAACTCAAAGAGTGTCGGGGACCCGCCTCGACATTGGGGTTCAGTTCACGAGGAGAGGATACCTGACGGCGATCGCAAGATATCAAGAATACACAGAAAGAGACAAAGAGAGAGACAATGAGGCACCCCAAAGCCAGGGTGGATACATCACTGGAAGGCAGGCTTGGGACTACAGGCATCGTGGCCTCTGCAGGCAGCAACTCACTGCCCTGCAATCTTTACCGCATGCCTTCCAGCCAGTAATGCTCTGCAATCGTTACTCCATGCCTTCTGACCAGTAATGCCCACCATCTTTACTCCATGTCTGCCAACCAGTAATGCACACCTGGGGAGGCCAGGGCCTCTGCTTTATTCAGGGGAGGAGCTTCACACCAAGCTGGGAGGGACTTAGGCAAGGTACAGCTAACATCAGTACTTTTCCAGACATTCAGGTAACTCCACATCCTACTTCGTGGTTCGAATCCCAGGCTAGCAACTTGGTTTCTCAGGCCCAATTAACATATCTATAGCCCCTGAGCATAGTTGGGGGAAGGTGAGAGATAAAGACAAAAGCTTGGGCGGAGTCCTGCTGCTTTGGCTTCCTGAGCCAGGTCTGCAGGACTCCAGACGCCCTGGTGAATGGGCTACACCTGGAAAAGGATTAGGGAGGATGGGTTCTTTGTCTATGGAACAAAGAGCTGTGAAGTAGCTAAGACATTTTTAGTTAATCCTTTGCAGAAAGGCTTAACCTTGCAACCTTTAGTCTCGGCTTTAGGAAAATATCACATTTATCTGTGGATTGTCAAAGGCTCCAGTGTATTAATTTAATATATATCACTGAATATTAATATGAAAGCAATTTGCCATTAACTTCCTGTGGCCTCATTTGTTACACTTGGCCCTAGAGGGCCTCGAACCTCTGACTAGTCTTACACGGTCTGCAACAAAAGAGTGAGGAAACAGACAGACATCAAAATCAAGAGACCAAATGGGAGAGACAGTGCTTTGGTTTAACAATCCCTGTGAGACCCTTCTAGCTAGGGACAGAGCCAAATCACACAAATGGCAACGGCACTTTGTCCTGTCTCTAAGTTGCAGAGGGACTTCCTCTCCTTCTTGCTCTCTTTTTTATCTCACTTTGAAGGGGAGATTGGGGATTAGACTAGGAAAGTAGAAAAGGAACCATCTGGGAGGCCGAGGGCTTGCACAGCAGCAGGGGAATAGCTGGGAAAAGCAGAGAATCCCAAGCACTACCATATCATCCTGCAGATGCAAAGCCATGGGAGTAGAGGGAACTTAGCTGACAAGCGCT